TGATCTCTTTATCTAAGTTATAAATGTTTTCTTTATATTTGAATGTTCCCTATAATTCAAATTTCAAAAATAAATTTATTAAAACTAAAATATTTGTACCATATTTAACTTTTTTTCTAAGTTTAGGGGGGCAGGTGCCCCCTTTCCTATGCTAGCTTCATCGTGATTGAATAGTATATCACTCTTTAATATATTATATAATATATATACTAAAAATTTATTTTTTTTAATATAAATTAAAAAAGATAAACTTAAAAATATATTTACATATAATATATAAAAATCGACTAAATTAATTATAATTATATTATATTTTAATAAATAAATTAAGTAAATATTGATAAATATGCAAAATTAGAGACAATTACACCTATTTTCTTTAAAAAAAAATAAATAATGGCAAAAAAATATAATTGGCAATGATTGAGAGACCTTGTTAGCAACATGTAGTAAGATAATTACCATTTGACCTCAAAAGTGACTCAATTAGTGTGCTTGCTGTGTCAGGTTTGTTTTAGGGGCATTGTGGTCTTTTTTACGCCAAACCCTCTGTCCCTCACCTCCATCTTTCCATATTTTAAAATCACCTTTTTTACCTTTCAATTTCCTTCTGTAACTTCCCTCCTGCATTGCTGAACTCTGGGGGATTAGAGAGGGACTTCTTTTGGCTTATCAGAGAAACATCCAGAACTTAATTGTTGAAGTTGACTCTTTAGTTGCAACTCAGTTATTATCCTGTTGTTTTTCATCTCATCATCCTCTTTACTCCCTTATTTTGGATTGTAAGGAGATCTTATCTAGAATCCCCCGGACTCGTATCCATCATATGTACAGAGAAGTTAATCAGTGCGCTGATGCTCTGACTGCAGTGGCTCATTCACTACCTGTGGATTTTGTCTCTTTTGACTGTTGTCCTCCGGGACTTCTTTTGTATTATGAAGCTAACATGAGGGGAACTTGTTTTCCCAGGACATAGTGTATCATGTGTTGTTTTTAATGCAATTCTCTCTTTTACCAAAACAAAAAAAAAAAAACTTCCCTCCTGCATTAGATAGTGAGAGGCAAAATGCCTATTTACTTATTAAACCATTCTTTCTTCTTTTCTTTAGCTGGCATTTAGGAGGCTGTGTTTCGAACTTTCTCCTTTTCTGCTTTACACAGGTCATTCATCATTGCTTCTTTCACCTTTTACTCATCCATTCTTTTCGGCTCTTCTTTTTTCTACTCTGCATTTTTTTCCTTTTCTCTCTCCTTTTTTCTACTGTTATGAAAAGAAGGTTATGCAATGAAAAGGATATACTAGCTATTGTTAGTTATCATTTCATTCGGTTTTTGTGCTTCGTAGAATTAGTGGACAGTTCATTTTACCTAATTTTTTT